ATAAATCCCTCAGGACTGCTGATTAACCAAAGCACATGGTTTAAACATAAGGCCATCGCTGATGTTATCGACTGTTGACGCTGACCTGAAATTCCTGAACATTATAAGCAGATTTTTAGTTGAGCACTTGTTTTGCTGCGTGCTGTTTTTTTGGCGAGTTCAATTTTTCATTTTTTTTTTATTCATGTTGTGTATCAGAGAGAGTTAAGAGCGGGCCTTGGGCGCAATGTGTTTCTCTATTGGCTAATGCAGCCCACACACTGGAGCCTTTCGCATGGGAGAGAAATGGAGCACTTTACACAGGGATTGTTATTTCAGTTTCATTTAAACTCCATGTGATACAGTAGCAATTTCTCACCACTTGAGTGTCACTTAGATAATAGCATTATATCTGCAGATTTGGGGTGCTCAGCTGCCAGGCGATGGAGTGAAAAACGGACAGAAATAGACGGCGCTAAAGGAGTGAAGGTCTGCTGTGGTGCGCTTGTGCACACCAGTGAATTCTCACCCACTCGTTTTTTTACATTTAAAAAGTGTTGCTACAGTGCGAAGCCTAGGCTATTGATTTAAGAGTATGAATGTTTGATAATTCAGATAAATATTCTACAACTCCAGTAGGAACCAGCGCTGACGAGGAAATCGGCCGCTGTGAATTGAATCTAATGGATGACGTGAGTGAACGTGAAAGGCGAGGTTTTCTACGGTTTGTTTGAACCCAAAAAAAATAGAGCAGAATTTGTGTTGGCTCACCACAGGTGAAACATCCATGTGGGAGATTTAAAAGGTTGAAGTAAATAAACAGAATCAAATGGACTTGGCCCTGCGGGTCATAAATAAGTGATTTTAAGACTTTTTTTTGGTTCTTCTGTTTTTTTCTGTTTATGTTGAACTTTCGGCTTGAACTAGGAGCTGGAAATAAATGTATATTGTTATGTTAAGGCATGTTTCCATCCATGTATGGTGCAAATTTTGAGAAAAGCATTCCCTATGATGTCCAGGAACCACTGCAACACAGTGGGAATGAGGCAAGAAGGTCCTGGGTTTGAATCCACTGGCCGGCTGTTGGCTCTCCTTGTTGAGTTTGATTTTCCCTCTGCCTGCATTGGTTCTCTCCAGGCACTCCCAGAGCTTCCTCCCACAGTCCAAAGTAATGCTATTAGCTACACTGGTGATCCTAAATTGGCAATAAATGTGAATGTGAGAAGGTCTGCCTCTCTGTGATAACCCTTTGATAGACTGGTGACCTGTCCTGGATGTAGAAGTGAAAGATTTTGGAAAGGGTTATAAGGGTATTTCTAAGGTTTGGGGACTGCAGGTAGAAAATGGAGAAGCTGGAGTGGCTGGTCTACCAAAACTATTCCAAGAGCGCAATGACGACTCATACAGGAGGAAACAAAAGAACTAAGAACAACATCGAAGGAACCACAGGCCTCACTTGTCTCAGTTATGGTCAGAGATGGTGATACAACCATAAGAACTATGATAACATAAGAGGCTGGACAGAAATTGCATCCATAGGATCGTTCCAAGGAGAAAACAACTGCTGACCAAAAATGGTCGATCCCCGATACTTTTGGGAAAATATTCTTTGGACTGATGAGACAAAAGTTTAACTTTGGAAGGTTTGAGTCTTGTTACATTTGGCACAAAACTAACACAGCAACAGTCAACAAGTGTTAGCGTCTGAACATCAGTTCATGCCCTAAAGCTAAATCACACTTGGGATATGCAGCAAAGCAATGATCCGAAATACAGCAGCAAGTCCAACTCTGAGAGCTAAAAAACAAAAACCAAATGAAAGTTTTGGAGGTTTGGTTTTGAACCTTAGGCCTAGAACACACTGTTCACGCTCAAAAACCTTCCAGTCTGGCTTAATTCAATCAGTTCTGCAAAAAAATGAGTTAATATTCCAACAATGTCAAAGACTTATTGAAAGTTATCCCAAGAGCTTGTTCATGCTGCCAACAGGGGTAGATTTGAATAGCTTTTTCCCCTTAATACGAAGGAAGAGGCCTCGAGGCAGACACAGGACATGCTGGAGAAATTATATGTCTCGGCTGGCCTGGGAACACCTTGGTGTTCCCCC